TAGGAATCACTAACACAGGCTCACCACAGAGAGCGCAAATGTGATGGAACTAAAGCTCGCATTTGCCAAACTTATTCTTGAAGGGCCTTCTGGTCACTGGCTGACCACAGGACCTGATCCTCTCTCTCCAACTATGTCAGTTCGTCTGTCCTCCCTCCTCTTCAGGGTGTCCTCCATCCCTACCCACCACCCACCACAGACACATAGACACACAGACACACACGCACACACACACACATGCACATGTACACGCACGCACACACACACTCTGGATCCAGATTCCTTTCCTTCTGGGATGCAGAGTAACATCACACCCTTCTCTCTGCAGCCACACACCTCACATGACTAAGTCTCCATCACAGCCAACGTTTCTGTGGGATCCCTAATGCATTAATCCCCCAAATTATGGAGATTTCAATCCAGTCACCGCCACATCTTGAGGGGGCAACAAAAAATGCCCACGAAATTTTTTTTCAAGATCTGTAATGTAGTGGAATGAACACCATCTAAGAGAAATACCACTCTCTTCTGTGCTGACTTGTTCGCCATCTGCCATTTCTTAAGGACCCACTTATCCGCTCTTACCTTCTCCTTCAAACTCTCCTGTGCGCCTGACAGGACGCTCACAAAGGCTTCCAGAGAGCTCAGGAACTCCTGCCGGATGCCGGCGGCTTCCTGCAGCCCCTCCAGCTCGCCCCAACCGTGGCTCGTGGCCCTGAGGGCAGGAATGAAGAGGTCCGACAGCAAACACTTCACACTGTTGAGCAGGCCCCCGTCCGTGGCATCCAGCATGCTAAAGCTCACCTCCTGGAAAACAATCGAGAGAGCCTTTACTGTAGAAACGACCTCCCATCACAACGTGGCTACCCAGTCATTTCTGAATGCTGTTCGTTAACCAACGACCCTGTAAAGACCAACCCAACGAGAAAAGCAAAGGCTATCAATTCAGAGCTTGCTGTGGCAAGGGAGTTGGCCGCCATCACTTGCGTTTCGGCAGAGACTCAAAGCAGGTGGAAGAATGGGAAAGCTTTCTAATGGAGAAAAGGGAAGGTTAGGGGTGGGGGGAAAGAAGGCTTCGGCAGTGCCCTGACCGGCAGCTGCTGGCTTGGGAAAGCTGGACGTGGGCTACCCAGAAGCGAGGCATCCTATATGCCTGGTGGAGGGTGCACACTTGGCCCCAGCCCATTGAAAGGATGGACAAAAATTAAGAAGGCTGCAGTCATGAATCAAGTCCACGTTGGCCAATGGTTCGAGCTGTTACCATTTAGAGCTTCTTGTCTGGCTTCCTGCAGGGTTGCCATAGCTGGCTGGCTACCTGGGTTCTTTACTATAGATAGGGAACAGTTTCCTGGGCAGGTTCTTGCAGGTTCTGTCAAAGTTCTGTTTCCATATGTGGTCTAGCCTTTGTCTGTTTGTATATCAGTCTCTCATTCCAGTAAATTGTTATTTGGACATAAGCTGTATGCTATTCTAAATTGCAATAAAATAAAAACATGAAATACAGAGAACAGAAGATGTTGACCAGTTTATTTGCTCCAAGCAGATAATGTACACATTGAGGGCAGGGGAGACATGTACAGATGAACTTTATTTTGCATGCAAAACAAAATAAAGTTATATA